TTATGGGGTGGCTGAAAACTTCAATGAGATTTCAAAATGTTAACAGAGACTTTCTCCAGACAGTCAAACTACTGGTGATTTGTGTTTTTTATATGATGTCCTATTTGTTCCAAGCTTTTTATAATGAGAATAAACTACTTATGTGATAAAAAAAATAAAAGATAATTTTCTTTTTACATCTCTCTTCTTAGGCGGATTGAGATTGTCCAGAGGGCAGATTCTCCAGAGGGCTCACTTTGGGTCTTATCCCAGTGTACAATGCATGAAAGATGCCCTAAAAATAGTTGTTGAGTTCAGTACCAACCTTAAATCTTGCTCATCCACTCATTTACAAATGCAAAACCATAATGACACATAACCCATCTGTATATCTGTGTTTCCTGGAGTCTCAATTCTGAGAGCAAGGATTTTTAGAGCCATTGAACAAAATTCTAAGAGCAAATGACAATTTTCAGGACAAAGATCACTTAAAGAATTCCTTTTTGTACTTCTCCTATAGACTTGGATATGCTAGTTATTTGATATAAGTAAGAGAGACCTATTTTTTGTTTAATGAAAGCATATGTGTCAAACCCTAGGGATCTCAAAAGAAGATTATAATATAAAAATGTGTAGTAAGAATATGGTGAGTGTTGAAAGAAAAAAAAAAAACTAACTACAGTAAAAGATATGATGCCATTAGTCCCCCTCAAAATACACACTTTCTGAGCCCATTTATCCCACCATTCTGGCCACTTCCTGAAGCAGGTCTGCAATTCCTCTTTCTTTTATTTATTTATTTTTAAAACAATAAGTTTATCGGTACATTTTAGGTACACAATATAATGACATGCATCATTGGAAATTTGCACCTTTACATGATCTCTCTTGGTTCTTATTTTTCCCCCTTCCCCTCCCGTCCCTTCAGCCTCTCCTCCCCTCCCTAGTTACAAAGACTTTCTTTCCATTTTTTCCTTTTCTCATATTAATCCCATTCCCTTCTTTCCTCTTCCCCTACCCCTCCCACTTCTCCTTCCAGTTTGGCCCTTTTCTTCCCATTTCACATTATCTATTACCTTTTAGTACTCATTTACACTTTCAGTTTCTAACACTAGACAAACTATTCAGTATTTACACATGTGGGTCCTATTTATTTCACTTGAGTATTGCCTTAATGTACGTCCATTTAGCTATAAATGTCTCTAATTTCTCATTCTTTATGGCTGAATAGTACTCCATTTTATATATAAAAAAACAACAACACATTTTCTTTATCCAGTCTCCAGTTGATGGGCAATTGGGCTGCTTCCAAGTTTTACCTATTACAAATTGTGCTGCTATGAACTTGGTGCACATATATCACTGTGGTATGATTCTTTTAATTCTTTGGGGAAGATACCCAGCAGAGGACTAGCTGGGTCAAATGGGACCTCTAGTCCTAGTTCTTTGAGGTATCTCCATACTGATGTCCACAGTGCTTGCACCAGTCTACACTCCCACCAGCAGTGGAGCAGGGTTCCTCTTTCCCCACAGCCCCACCAGCATTGGTTATTGGTTGATTTCATGACAGCAGGCATTCTTTCTGGAGTGAGGTGGAATCTCAGCGTTGTTTTCATTTGCATCTCTCAAATGACCAGTCATGTTGAACATTTTTTCACATGTTTATTTCCTGTTTCTACTTCTTTGTCTGGGAAATGTCTGTTCATTTCAGATGCCCATTTTCGGATTGGGTCTTTAAATTAGAGAAGTCTGATTTTTTTAAGTTCTTTATACATTCTAGATAGTAGACCTTTGTCTGAGGAACAGCTGGTAAAAATTTTTCCCAGATTGTGGGTTGTCTCTTCACTCTATTGGTGGTTTCTCTTGCTCTGAAGAAGCTTTTTAATAAAAAGAAATCCCACTTGTTAATTCTTTGTGCTAGTTCATGGGCAACTGAGGTTTTCTTCATGAAATCTTTTCCTACGCCAATGCCTTCAAGAGTTCTACCTAACCACTCTTCCAACAGGTTTGGTGTTTCTGTTTTTATATTTAGATCTTTGATCTGTTTTGATTTTAGTTTAGTGCATGTTGAGAGAGGGTCTTTTTTACTCTTTGGCAAGTTGAAACCCAGTTTTTCCAACACCATTTATTAAAGAGGAATTTCAATTGGAATTGCACTGAATTTATATAGCAGTTGTAAAAGAATGGCCATTTTCACTATATTGGTTCTCTCTACCCAGGAACAAGGGATGTCTTTCCACTTTCTGATATCCTCTTCTATTGCTTTCTTCAGAGTGCAATAGTTTTAGAGTAGAGGTCTTTGATTACTTTTGTTAGATTGATTCCTAGGTATTTCATTTTTTTTGGATGCTATTGTGAAAAGAGTTACTTCTTCAGTTCCTCTCTCAGTGAGTCTGTTGTTCTTGTACAAGAAGGCTATTGATTTTTGTGTGTTGACCTTGTATCCAGCTACTCTACCGAATTTGGTTATTAAGTCTGGAAGACTTTTGGTAGAGCTCTTGGGGTCATCTATATAGAATATCATGTCATCTGCAAATAATGACAATTTGACTTCTTCATTTCCTATCTTTATTCCTTTTATTTATTTCTCTTGTCTAATTGCTGTGGCTAATGTTTCCAGAACACTGAACAGGAGTGGTGATACTGGACATTCTTGTCTTGCTCCTGATTTTAGTGTAAAGGATTCATTAGTGAGATTGGCCTATAGTTCTCTTTTTTGGTTGGGTCTTACTCTTCTTTTGGGATCAAAGTGATGCTTGCTTCCAGGAATGAATTTGGGAGTATTGTGTCCCTTTCAATTTCACTAAAGAGTTTAAACAGTAGTGGCAATAGTTCTTCTCTAAATTACTTGTAGAAAGTTTACGCAGCAGAATGAGCCAATGTGAGGACAGATTATCAGATACAGAAGAGAGGATTATGATTAGTGACCAGGAAAAGAAAGATTTCTTAAAAGTAGCAAGGGACCATGAGAAATCAATCCAGCAGCTAGTAGATGATTCAAAGAAGAATAACAGAAGACTGATTGGAGTCAATAAAGAAAAAGGAGATAGTTCAAATGACATAAAAAAAACTGTTCACAGAAGTAATGGCAGACAACTTCCCAAGCAGGGGAAAAGAATTTGACATACAGGTAAGTGAGGCATATAGGACTCCAGCTAGCCGTGATGTAAAAACAAAACAAACAAACAAACAAAACTACACCTAGGCATATAATAGTCAAGATTCCAGAAACCCAACAGAAGAACAAAATACTAGAAGCAGTTAGAGAAAAGAAACAAATCACATACAAAGCAATGCCCATCAGAATCACAGCAGACTTCTCAACACAAACCTTTAATTCAAGAAGAGCCTGGAGTGAAATATTTTGACCCCTAAAAGAAAACAACCTTGAACTCAGATTGATGTACCCTGAAAAACTATCTTTCAAAATTGATGGAGAAATAAGATACTTTCACAACAAAGAACACCTGAGATACTCCATGAATATCAAACCAGCACTCCAAACAGTTCTAAACAATATCCTAGAAAAAGATAATTAAGGTCACAACCCCACGAAGCCCAACAGAATGAGTCCATCAGGCAAGACAAGAAATTAAATGTAAAGGGGGAGAATCCAACAACAGGAAAAGGTCATGACAAGGATAAGTCAATGCATATCAGTTATAACCATAAATGTTAATGGTCTCAATTCACCAATCAAAAGAAATAGACTAGCAGAATGGGTCAAGAAGCAAAATCCAACAATATGCTGTATACACGAAAAATACTTAATTGAAAAAGAAACTCACAGAGTGAAAGTTATAGGGTGGAAAACAATACTCCGTGTGACAGTAACCCCTCAAAAAGCAGGAGCAGATATCCTCTTTGCAGATCAAATGGATTTCAAACCAACACTAATTAAGAGAGACAAAGAAGGCCACTACATTCTTGTAAAGGGAAAAGTCCAAGAGGAAGAGATGACAATAATAAATATATATGTACCAAACACTAGTGCACCCAACTATATAAAACAAATGCTAACAGACATGAAAGGTCCAATAAGCACTAATACAATAGTAGTGGGGGACCTCAATACCCCACTGTCACAGATAGATCAATTAAACAAAAAATGAACAATGAAATAGTAGAACTCAAACTCTTGAACAAATGGGCTTAACAGATGTTTACAGAGTGTTCCACCCCACAAAATCAGAATACACATTCTTTTCAGCTGCACACTGGTCGTTCTCCAAAATAGACCACATACTGGCTTATAGAACATGTTTAAGTAAGTGCAAAGGAACTGAAGTTATCCCCTGTATATTATCAGACCATAGTGTGATAAAAGTGGAGATCAATAGCAAAAGAAACTACAAGAATTTCATAAACACATGGATACTGAACAACACACTTCTGAATAACCAATGGGTCACAGAGAAAATTAAAGAAGAATCAGACAGTTCCTACAATTAAATGACAGTGACAACACAACATATCGGAATCTATGGGACACAATGAAAGCAGTTTTACAAGGGAAATTCACAGCAGTGAATACTCATATTAGGAAAACAGCGAGCCTAATTAAACAACCTGATGCTGAACCTCAAGCTTCTAGAAAAAGAATTGCAGGACAAACCCAAAGCCCATACAAGGGAGGAAATTATAAAGATCAGAGCAGAAATCAGTGCAATAGAGACTAAGAGAATGATACACAAAAATGCCAATGAAGCAAAGAGTTGGTTCTTTGAAAGAATAAACAAAATTGACAAACCTTTAGCCAACCTTATCAAAAAAAGGGAAAGAAAAACTCCAGATCTATGGAATTGGGAATGAAAAGGATGAAATTACAACAGACTGAGCAGAAATCCAGAGGATCATCCATACCTACTTCGAGAAGCTATACGCCAATAAGATGGAAAACACAGAAAAAATGGACAGATTTCTAGATGCGTATGAGTTATCAAAGTTGAGCAAAGAAGACCTAAAATTTCTGAACAACTCAATATCAATCAACAAAATTGATAATGTAATTAAAAACTTACCAGGAAGAAGAAAAGCCCAGGTCCTGATGGCTTCACTGCTGAATTCTGCAAGTCCTCTTTCTACAGCATCTGAGGTGTATCATTACGGCTGCTTCAATGTACTAATGAAAACAAAACATAGACCTTTTTATAGTCATTTTGACTTTGGGGAAGAGTCAGAAGTCAAATGTTGCCAGACCCGGAGAATAAGGTGGATGAGGACACATCATCGTGTTTCTATGAGGCTATCTTTCCCTTGGTGGCATGTACTATATTTTTTATCACACCCAGTAAAAACTCTCCAGAATAATGGGGTAACCGTATTTGAAGTGAGGGGAGTATTTTGAGGGAGATTAGTGGCAATGTGTCTTTTACTGGAACACATCTCTTTTCATTTAATCACTCACTGTGTATTTCAGTCATACCTCATAGATATTATAGGTGAGACTTTCCCACTTAACAGATGAGGAGAATGCAGAGATTAAGCGATTTGTCCATGAGGACATAATTGATGGGTATATTTCCTTATAGCTGCTTCAACACTATCTGAATACAGAAGTATAGATTGGGTATCCCTTACCTGAAATGCTTGGGATCAGAATTGGTTCTGATGCTGAGTTTTTTTCAGATTTGGTATCTGCACAATCATAACGAGATATGTTGGGGCTATAACATGCTATTACATGAAATTCTTTTCTGTTTCCTATACACTTTCAACACATAGCCTGAAGGTGATTTTGAGTAATATTTTTAAGTTGGGCGTGCTTTGATTGTGACCTGTCACACGGGGCCGGGTGTGGCGCTTTCTAGTTGGTCCAACACGTCAGTGCTTAGAGTGTTGGAGTTTGGGTTCTTTTGGACTTTCATGTTTTGGATGAGGTATGCTCAAGCTGTTGTTGGTATAAGTAGGTATAAAATAAGTAGATGTAATATTATAATTCCTGCATTCTGCTGGAAGCTCATCACGCAACACAATGTGTCGACAGGTAGATGAGATCAGGATGTGGCTATCTTTGGGGGAACCATTATTGTGCCCGTGATAAGCTCTGTGGATATCATCACCCTGCTGGGAATCAATATCCGTGTTTTTTCACCCCTTAGCATTCTGGGAATTCCTTCATCACAAACCTCTCATCACAGGTTAGCATGATTGCTAGTTTCTTTTTCTCCACCTTCAGATTAAAAGCTCCTAGACAAACTCCTGCTTCAGTATGCTTGCAGAATGAAAGAATAAAAGCAAAAGGAACTAGCGTTGAAAGGTTTTGTGCTTCTTCTTGTGCTGACTCTTGCATTTTTCCATGGGTTGAAGTTGGGTTCAGTGAACTGATGTGAAGATCTCACCGAAAAAACTTGATTTTCACGTAGCAGAGCAGGTGGCCCCTTGGAGACAAAGTCATTACAAGCACGATTTGCAGCTTTTCTTCTCCGTGAGGTTTTATTAGCAACTTTAGCTGGGATATCTGTAAATTTTGGCCTCAGAGAGCCTAGTTAGGGCATAGTTATGGTAACTGGTTTGCCGAGAGAGGCATACTCGTTTATTCTTTGTGTCCTGCTAATTATTCATGCTGCCCTTTTTGAATCTCTGCAGCTTCTGTTTTGGTAATAAATTACAGTCATACAAAACATACCAACATTTTCAACATCAAATATGTACATCAGTTTGCTTGGGGGGAATACAAAGAGGGAGGAAATCAATGACGTGTTGTAACCAACACTAACTCCACATATGTGTTACTTGCTTTGCTTGAACAATCAGCATCATTTCTGAAAAAGTTAAGAAGGAGAAAAATATTCATACTTGTTTTCCCTTAAGAGGTGACATGTATGCTAACCAGGGTCCAGCTCAGTATTTCCATGCACATACATACTTTGTGCCTGACATACTGAATTGCTTCTCTCTTACACTCTTACTTGCTAAAGTCTACCACGAAGCAACTCAGTCCCACTGACAAATGGTTGCCGAGTTCTTTTTCTTCCCGAGAAGTGGGGAAAATGTTAGCATTGGCCGGGATCCAGTTGGACAGACAATACAGTGCAGAAAGACAGAACCGAATGGAAAATTGCCTCATGCTCGTAGGGAAAGACGAGGGTGGAAAGCAGCCAGTCAAGGAGCTTAGAAAGAAAAGCTGTCTGCCAGTGATCCAAATTAGCTACCAATATCTTGTCTGGTAGCTAGGACTGGACCTGGCAATGCTAAGAAATGAAAAGGCGCTCAACTGAAGGAATGCGTTCAAATACAAGCTCGGGCACGAAAGGTTTTTGCAGAAGGTGTTTCTTGACTCAATTTGCAAATGGATAAATTGCAGCTTAAAATATGAGAAAGCAATAGGGGAAATTCACAATCATCTAGTTTGGAGCATGAAACAAATTTTCTTGAAAAAAAACAGTGAATGCAAACTAAGAAAACTACAATCATTCTAAAATCTCTTAATCAAATGCCAACAAATAGAGCAGTCTATATTTGGAGAGATCCACATCTGTGGAGTGGGAACTAGGCCCAGTTACTAAGGCCATTTCTGATTTATTTCTGAGCAACTCAGGGGCTTGTGAAAAATAACTGGTTGGTCCACTCCCAAAACTTATCTCATCTTCCACCATCATGGTCTATACAACCTACCATAGCATAAAAAGCATGCATAAATATTTGCCTTTTATTCCCTTGAAAAGACCATATACCTACATCTAAGGACAGAGCCATTCTTCCCGTTAAACAGCAAACAAATGATATTTTTAAAATAGTGATTTCATATTACAGGATACCAACATATTTTACCTACATAGAAAGAGAGAATTATTGCTAGTCACGCTACTGAAAGATTAGAGTACGAAAGAAGTATTAAGGGGTCAGAAAGTTCTTTTGTTAGTAAAGAGCTTATCTCGATTCATTTGAAGAACTTCATGCCAGTTTGAGGTTGCCCTGTAAAATTTAAATAGCAAAATGGAAGACCATGTGCGGCCCCGTGCTGAAAGAATGCAAAATCTCATAAGCACAGAAGACAATTCCCACATCGCCCCTGAAGTTCTGGCAGAAAGAAAAAAAAGGACACTACACAAGTTGAATACTCATTATGGATGAGTCACCATGTTAGACAGAAAAAGGCAGAACACGTGACCTGTGGCACTATGGAGTACAGCCTTGTGGAGGACAGTGGGGCCATGCGCTGTGAACCACCCTGAGCAGCAACAAGTATGGACACAAGTGTCGATAGTTGCAGACTTCCGAGACCTAAGCAAACAGTGGTGGTAATTCAGAGATACCACAACGCCATGCCAGTGTTTCCTTTCCACTTCTGCACTTGGCTGGAGAAGGTCAAATTTGAACTGGATGTTCTAGAGTCTGTAGGCTTTTCAAAGGAAGGCTATTGAAGGAATCAGATTGTGAATGGGCAGAAGTACAGACACGAGGTAGGGACGGGCATTCTCTTTTTAAATGTTAAGTGTGGTAAAATATCCATATCATGTAGCATCATAAGCCAGGCATACTGAGACATACCTTTAATCCCAGTAACCTGGGAGTCTGAGGCAGAAGGATCACAAGTTTGAGCCCAGTCTGGGCCACTTTGTGTCTCAAAGTTGATAAAAAAGGCTGGAATTGTAGCTCAGTGCAAAGGCACTGGATTCAATACCCAGTACCACACAGAAGGGGAAAATGACAATTTTGGACCCAGAAGGCATTACTATGTTAAGTGAAATAAGCCATGCACACAAAGACAAATACGGCACAATCTCACTCATCTGTGGAATATAGAAAAGGGGATGTCATGCAAGCTGGGAGTGGAATGGTCTCCACCAGATACCAGAGAGAGTAGGGGAGAAAGAGGGAAGGAGAGAGATGGTCAATGGACACTAAGTTAGAGTTAGATCAGAGAAAAAGGGTCTGGCTTTCTAATGCACACTTCAATTGATAAGGACAGTGCACTGCATATTCCAGAAGAGCTGGGAGAAGTGATATTGAATGCTTCCACCACAAAGAAATGATAAATGTTGGAGGAGATAGATATGTCTGCCTCAATTTGAACACTGCCTCTTGTATACATGCTTTGAAACATCATATAGTCTCCCGTGAGCAAGTACAATTTTTAGAGTTGATTATAAAAAGAAAGACAATTTCTCACACCAGAGAAACTATTTGGTATTTACACATGTGTGTCCTATTTATTTCACTTAAGAGTATGGCCTCAACGTGCATCCATGTAGCTATAAATGTCTCCAGTTTCTCATTCTTTACGACTGAGTAGTACTCCATTTTATAATGTGAAATAGGAAGAAAAGGCCCAAAGGGGAAGGGGAAGTGGGAGTGGTAGAGGAAAGGACAAAAGGGAGAGGAATAAATATGAGAAAAGGAAAAAATGGAAACAAAGTCTTTGTAAATAGGGAGGGGTGGAGGGGCTGAAAGGAAGGGAGGGCTAGGAATGGGGAAAAAATAAGAACCAAGAGAGATCACGTAAAGGAACAAATTCCTAATGATGAATGTCAGCATACTGTATGCCTAAAATGTACCGACAAACTTAATGAATAAAAAAGAAAGAAAGAGCTCCCATCGTAAGCATTGTAAGCACGTCTCCAGAATATTAAGAGCACTCATACTGTTGTGCAGCCATCATCACCCAGTGTGTCTTCAGGGAAATATTTCCTCGTGTGATGGGCACACTCGGTACCCATCAGTCATGAAGTCCTGGGGCCCTTGTCCTCGCTCCCTCACAACCAGGAATCTACCTTCCATCTCCACGATTCTGACCACTCTAAGCACGTCGGATAAGTGCAACCATTCATTATTTGTCCTTTTGTCTTTGGTTCAACTCAGCGACAGTCTTCCAGGTTCATCCAGGTTGAGCATGTGTCAGAATTTTCTTCCTTTTTTGTATTTTTTTTTTAATGAGTCCCTATTTGCAGCACATAATGTTCACCTTCCTCATGGGGAGTTGGTACACGAACATAACACATTCTCATTCCTTTTTCATTTCCTTTCTCTTCCCTCCCTCCTCCCTCTGTCCATCTCTTAAACCTCTTGCTTTTTATGCTGTTAGAGGAAATGCACAATAAAACAACACTGAGATTCCATCTTAACCCAGAAAGAATGGGCATCATCAAGAAATCAAGTAATAAGAAATGGTCCTTGGTCTGCGGAAAAAGGAACACTCCTGCATTGTTGGT